TTAATAAAAAAATAAAAAGCTAAGGGGCAAGCTTGAGAAGTTGGGAAAAAGAAATTATTCTTAAACAGAAAAATACACGAAACAATCACATTTTTAATGATTTTTTTTTTTTTTTAAACTTAGGGCACCTGGGTGGCTCAGTCAGTTAAGCGGCCGACTTGGGCCCAGGTCATGATCTCACGGTTTATGAGTTCTAGCCCCACGTTGGGCAGCTCAGAGGCTGGAGCCTGCTTCGGATTCTGTGTCTCCCTCTCTCTCTGCCCCTCCCCTGCTCACAGTCTGTCTGTCTCTCTCTCTCTCTCTCTCTCTCTCTCAAAAATAAGTAAACATTAAAAAAAATTAATAATTAATTAAAGTCTTACTGTTTCTCCCCTCCCCCCATTTATAATTTCTCTAATTGAAAATTTTGGTTCTCTTTCTTTTTTCCAAATAAATAATATCCTGCAAAGATAGAATGTCTCCTGAGCAAGGAATTTCTAAACTTCTCTATTAGGCTGTATTGACACATAGACTTAAAAATTTGTGAATTATATAGTAAGGTAAAATCCATTCAAAAATGTTCTCTAAAAACATATGCTTATAAAAATAAGGAAGTTATCCTATATGGCCAAAATATAGAAATTCTTATCAACTTTCACCAAAACATCTCTGAGCCAAAACACCCAAAAGCATCTTTTGAAGGTTTATTATCAACTTCATCCCAAATAAAAACCGCAACTATTCTTGAGATTCTTTAGAATTCTGTATGAGATCACGTGCATATATTGAATGTTTTAAATAATGTTTTAAATGCAAAAATGTGAAATGAATAATAAAAATCTGATATCCAGGACTGAGATTTATTAACATTGTTGTATTTGCTTCATTTGTTCTAAACAAGGTAACATATCACAGGAAAAAAACCTTACCTCCTTTATTATTATTATTAGTATTATTTTTTTAATGCTGATTTGTTTTGAGAGAGAAAGGCTGAGTGAGTAGAGGCAGAGAGACAGAGAATCATAAACAGGCTCTGCGTGGTCAGCGCAGGGCCTGACATAGGGCTTGATCTCGCGGATCTTCACGAACCGCGAGATCGTGACCTGAGACAAAATCAAGAGTCAGAAGCTTAACTGACTGAGCCACTATTTCTAAATTGCTGTTCCCCTAGAACTACACTTTACCAGCAAAGAAATCTTTTTGTTTTATTTTCTAGAAATACTAAGCCTTTAATAAAAGCACATCTCCTCTGTTTTTTCACAAATATAAAAATTGACTACATTTTTCTACTACCTCTTTAGATGCTTTTAGAAATACTCAAATGTATTAATAAATGATATATAGGTATTTTGTGTTATATCATTCTGTATTGAATATATTTTCCAATATGTCACTGACCAGAATTCTTTAGGCACAGAGGAACCTCAATATACTCTTTCTAACATGGAACCAGGTTTGGTTAATAGAACAATAAAATTCTATCCTATCAGTGTTTTCCAAATTCATATTAGAATATTATGAACAAATTTTACAAGACCCTCAACTGTCCATGCTTGAGCTCTATGTAGGCTTGCTTTTTAAAATTTTTTTACAAAATATGGCTCCAAAGGAAATAACTAAAATAACTAAGGAAATAAGGTATTGTTAATAGCTATTCCACATGCATTGTAGGATAAAAATAAATAAATAAATACTTGGGAACTTGGATTTTGTCATGAGAGGAAGCAGATAGAAAAATGACTAATTCCATTTCTGGGTAAGAAATATACAATATGCCTGGCCTTGAACATCTTGTCATTCTCCCCCCCCCCTCCCCCGCCAAACAAATCAGCACTACTAAGTGCAAGTGAAAGGATTCAGGGGCCAACTTGACTCACCAACTTGATAATTTAGCATCAAAAAGAATAACAGCAATGAACTAAAATAAAATATACCAAAATCAAATTCATCTAAAAATCCTTGGCACAGAAAGTATAAACCCATGAGTTCATAATTATACTTAAGAAAAAAAATTATTATTTACATGCTAGGGAATCAAATTATTTTTTCAAGTTCATTTATTTATTTTGAGAGAGAGAGAGAGAGAGCGCGCGCGCGTGCATGTGTGAGCTCATGAGCATGGGAGGGGCAGAGAGAGGGAGAGAGAAAATCCCAAGCAGGCTCCATGCTTCAGCGGAACTGTGAGACCATGACCAGAGCTGAATCAAGAGTTGGATATTTAACCAACTGGGCCAACCAGGTGCCTCAAATTATTTTCTTTTGTGAAGCTGCTAAATATGGCCAAAGAATCAAGTCTTACCCTGCGTATGCTGTAATAACTATATATACTTTAGGGTACTGCATAGTTGATAAAGGCAAATTTCTTCTTATAGAAAGTCTTGTCAAATGTTAAGCCTGAATACAATCAAAGTTCTAGATCTAACTACCAACTAATGAGGAATACAGGACACAGAACACCATCAGGAAAATCAGCGAGTCTGGGGGAAACTGAAGGGGCGAATCATGTGCTTTCTTCAAAGGATGGATTGGGAGTTGGGAGTTTGGGGAGGGCTGATGAGAGAGGAAAGTAGAAACCTATAAGTTGAAAGAAAACATCCAAGGGAAATGGATCTTATTTTGATCCAGATTCTTAAAAATAAATTGAAAACAAAAACTTTTTTCAACTGGGGAAATCTGAACCCTGAAGGATAAAGAATTATTAATAATTTAGATGAGATCATGATTCTCTGGTTGGTTACTTAATTTACGAGTACTTAACTTTTAGAAGTGGTACCATTTCATTCAGAAATATTTTAGTTTGTATTATTTCCAGATAATTTTGGGGACAGAGGAAAGTTGGTAGAAATACAGATGAACGAAGACTAACCCATAGGTGATAAACGTTAAAACAAGGTAACTGGTGAGTGTGGTTTCCTTGTACTCTGCTCATATGTGTTCAGATTTTTAAAAAACAAAAGATGAAGGCTTCTGTTGAAAACTCTGTAAAAAAAAAGCTGAAAGTCATCAGTAGGTTAAAGATAGTTTTTGTCTCTGGGCACCTGTATGGCTCAGTTTGTTGAGCGTCTGATTTTGGCTCAGGTCATGGTCTCAGGGCTCGTGAGTTCAAGTCCTACATCAGGCTTGCTGCTGTCAGTGCAGAGTCTGCTTGGGATTCTTGGTCCCCCTCTCTCTGCCCCTCCCCTTTGTGCGCTCTTTTAAGAATAAATAAACATTTGGGGCGTCTGGGTGGCTCAGTTGGTTAAGCATCCGACTTTGGCTCAGGTCATGATCTCGTGGTTTGTGGGTTCAAGTCCTGCACCAGGTTCTGTGCAGACAGCTAAGAGCCTGGAGCCTGTTTCAGATTCTGTGTCTCCTCTCTCTCTGCCCCTCCCCCACTCGTGCTTTGTCTCTCTCTGTCTCAAAAATAAAACTATATATAAAAAATTTTTTAAAAAGAATAAATAAACATTGAAAACAGATAACTTTTTCCTCAAATTATCAACATACTTTAGTAGAGGTATGCTCTGTGAACCTTAGATGTGTAAAAATGAAAATGCTACTTGTATTACAGAGCATCATGTCCTAATACAGATTGAAATGGAAGAATATTTTAGTGACAGATCCTATCATGAGTACTTCAAATCCAGAACATACAAAATACACCAAATTATAGTATAGTCAGTAGTAGCAAGTGAATTAGCGTTTGGCTGCAGAGTTCTGACATAATGGAAATGTACAGATCATCAGAGTTTATGAAAACCCTCTTCCTGTCTGATCATTTTTAATAAGCCTTAAGTGGTTAATGAGGCTTTTAATGATACCATCTATTTCTGTTTAGTGGTAGAACAGCTAATAGGTAGTATGGAAAAGTAAAACTGATCATTCATAAATATTAAAATAGTTTTCTTTTGTAATATATCTACATCGACTCTCTGCACTCCCCCTCCCCCCAAGCCTAGTTATAGACTATAGACCCCCCCCCACACAAAATGGGTGCCTTTGTTAGCACTGTAGGTATTTTCTAGCACTTGTTTGGACACCAGCTGTGTGCTGATTGCTTTTGTGAATGCTTACATCATCAAATATTACAAAACTAGAAAGGCTCCTTCAAGTTTCCAGGAGTGTGTCTGAATGTTGTCTGGCAGGTGCACCTGGAGAGAGAGACTTGGTCCTGACAGCCTCTAGGAGGAGTTCTAGCCAATTCAGAGTGACAACTCGTTAGATAAACATAAGCCAGCTAGTCAGCTCAGGCAATGGGGGGTGAACAGTGTTTTTGGGGGATGCAGGGCAAAAGCAGTCTCTGGTCTAGTAATACTGACATAGACAGGTATCAGGTATCTAGTCATGTGTCTGAGTGCCATTTTTTGATTACATATTAGTTGGGTTTGGGGGGGTGGGGGGCATGACAGCAAAGTCTGTAGGTGGTGTCTGGTGGGCCTCCATCACCGTCTAGAAGCGTCGGGGTTTGCACCCTGCCCCTTCAGGGTCAGCCGCAGTCACGTCCAGGTGGCGGCTGTGTAGCCCCAGTTGCCCACCTTGCCCACTCCTACCCTGTCCAGGTACCTAGAGCATCCCGACCCGGAAGTTTAAAGACCTTTTGTGGTGGGGGGTCGCCCATCAGCCTCAGGTAGGGGCAATCGGCCCGATGGGGGGTCCTGGCATACTCAGCACATCTAAACCCTACTCTGCCGCAGAGCAACAATTTACCGGTGTGGCTTGCACGTAGCCCTTCATCTTTATTTAAGCAACACAAGTGATGGAATTGACACACTGCTTCTAGGCCTAAGAGAGAAACTGGATCAGTGTGTGAGAAGTCTGGACAAGAAAGGAGACGGCCTGAAAAGAAGAGACTGAGTATATTATGGCAAGTGGGTTGCAATGGAGGCCTATTCTGGACACAGCTGTATTTTATCTTCAATGTACTGAACAATCAAAACTATGTGATATAAAATAAAATGCTGAGTCATTGCTTCCTTAGCCAAGTCTGATGAAATGGATGGACTGCACTGGGAAAATGGAAAAAAAAAAAGCAAAAAACCTACCTGAAGACTGCAAGGGTCAGAGACCAGAGCACTAATGGCTTCCTCAGTTCAAACTTCGCCCGTTTGTTCATTACGTGCCGACCACCAAAGATGAAGGCAGCATACAGAGCGGAAAACAGGAAAGATTTCTTCCTACAACAAACAAAACCCCAACATCTTATGAAATGAAACTCTTTAAGCAATTTATTTTTACTTGTCAGAAATTTATATTTAAATTATCTGTTGTTTTTTATACTAGTACCTCTTTGTAAGCACTGAGAGCATATTGTTGGGAATGTGCCCCTTTGCTGAAGAGAGAATGTTTAGTCCTTCTGGCACCATAGCCTTCTGTGGAAAACTCCTTTGACAATTAGGTCATCCAGATTAACCAACATATGTCAGGATAGATCTGTCTGCTTTTCTGGCTCTGTGACTTTAAAAATTTCAACAACATACCATTAAGGTGCAAAAAGAAATTTTTTCACTGAGAGAATTAAAACACTAAACTCAAGCTACATAACTTAGGGCACCCCCAAAATGGATCTCTGAAATCTTCTCCACCAAAGGAGTAGGTGTTAAGCTTCAATAGTATCATTAATAATAAGGATAACTGGCAGACATCATACAATGTATTAGGAAGAACATAGAGGTACCTATAGTATACTTGCCCGAAAGTTTGAAATTGAATCCTATCAAAATCTGATTTTACTACCCAAGCATAAGAAATATAAAGGATAAATACAACGATGGGTCCTTCTCTAGGACAAATGAACTATTTCCTAAATCAGAGGAGTATGGAATCCAAATGTGGGACTCTTCTAGATTAAAAAGTGACTTGAGAGACTACAATCAAAGATACTAGGTAGTTGGAAACCAACTTGACAATAAACTATGAAAGGAAAAAAAAAAAAAACCAAAGGTACTAGGTAGAATTTTGGGGGCCTTTATTTGAGCAAACCAATTGCAAAAAGATGTTTGTAATAAATTCAAAATATAAATTAGAAAGTTATTAGTCATAGTTTTAAAAGTAGTTAATATTTATGGGTGAGATTACATGTTTTGTATTTGCTTCAAAATATCCCAGGAAATAAAGAAAACCAAAACAATCTTGAAGATAAAAAATGGAAACCCTAGATTTTTAAAAAAAATAAGTAGGCTCCACAACTAATGTGGGCTTGAACTCAAGACCCTGAGATCAAGAGGTACATGCTCTACCAATGAGCCAGCCCTGAGATGTAATCACATTAACAAAAAGGATGATGAGATACAGGAGCTCATTATTCTCTCTCTCTTCCGTAGTCAGGCTTGCATGGAACTCTTGGTCAGAAATGTATAAGCGATATGAAATAGAATCTCTAGGTCCTGCCAGTTTATTACTATACAAAGGAGAAGTAAACAGTAATGTTGATAATGCCAATAAGAACAGAAACAAAAAAAAAACAAAACCCAAGACTCTATAGAACTGTGATTCAGCAGAAAGTAACGGAGGCCTTGTAAATAATTTAAACATCTAAACGAACTTCCTAAAAAAGCAGTTATTTTCTTAAAATGGATATTCCCCACTCAATTATATTAAGAGGGAAATCATTGAAAAGTAAGTTACAAGCATAATACAAAAAGCAAAATGAATTAAACTAAGGAGCATTATTTGCAAAATGCCTCATATTCTTCTTCCTAATGGCTGACACCTCTGGTTATGTATTGCTGACTAATGAGGGATCTTACTAATGACACAAAAAACACACCTCCTTCAATGAATGCATGTGACTTACTTGGTGAATACCACACAATAAAGTGCTAATTCCAGAAATCAACCCATAAAGATGGGATAAACCATTTCCAACTGAAGTTTGCAAATACTCTTGGAAACACAGACCTGGCACATAGTAACTACTTGATAAAATGTTCATGAATATATATGAATCTTACAAGAGTACGTCGTTGGATTACTTTGAGTCCTAATCACCATCTATATTTACATGGAGACACTCACTAAAAAACAACTACAGGGGCGCCTGGGTGGCTTAGTCAGTTAAGCGTCCGACTTTCGCTTAGGTCATGATCTCGCGGTTCGTGGGTTCGAGCCCCGCATCGGGCTCTGNTGAACATCTCTATTGCTGTTTATTTTAAAGTTTTTATTGGATAAGTTCTGTTCATTTTCTCTTAAGTAAAATTTTTCAGTTCTCATTGCAAAATTTTATTGCTCTTAACTCATGATTAAAATGACATGGGGAGGGGCGCCTGGGTGGCTTAGTCGGTTAAGCATCCGACTTTCGCTTAGGTCATGATCTTGTGGTTCGTGGGTTCGGGCCCCACGTCGGGCTCTGTGCTGACTGCCAGCTCACAGCCTGGAGCCTGTTTCAGTCTGTGACTCCCTCTCTCTCTGACCCTCCCCTGCTCACGCTGTCTCTCTCTCTCTCTCTCTCCTAGAAATAAATAAAAACATTAAAAAATAATAATAATAAATAAATAAATAAAAAACAACTACAAAATTTTGTCAAGTTAATGTAAGCAATAGTCATATGAAATCGTATATATTCTTTTCTAAATTAAAAAATTCTTATTATTCTCTAAATTGTAAAGGTAATGATGAGTGACAGTTCATAGTATGATTTAGGGAGTGATTCCTGGGGATGGGCATACCTACTGTCAAAAAACTTTCTCTAATCTTCCTAATCGCTCCTAATGTAGGTAAATCATTATCTTCATTTTATGGACAAGGAAACAGGCTCAGAAGTTAAGTAACCTCAGATCTCCCTGTTTTCCTGTGGTAAACTTTCGGGAAGGAAAAGAGTGTACCTGATGTGTTATAGACATAAGCAGTCCTCAAACTCTCTTACTAAATTGCATGCTCATTGTGTAACTGTGTAGTACGTTGTTTAACTATGAACAGACCAAGAGGAATCTCAGTTCCTTCATGTTTCAATGGTCATATTTTGGGGGCTTAGAACATTTTGATCTAAACCCTGTTTACCTTCCAGAGAATACAAATTAAATATATATATATACATACTCCTGAAAACTTTTCCTTATCTATCATTCTTTCTTTTGCTCATTCAACCTAATTCAGATTTTGGTTGTGGTTAGAGTAATTGTATTACTTGCAATTATGAACCAAATTAAATGGATGTCTTTATATGATCCTATCATTCTAGCCATTAAAGGGAACATAAGGTGCCTTGAAGAATCAAGAAAAATATAAAGATCTTCTCTCAGTATTTTCTCCTTTGTGTTTCTGCAGCTATGAAATGAGAATTAGTCCTAACACACTACTAGCTTCCTGGCACAAACCATTCTTTTTTCTACATATTTTCTAACGATATCTCAACAAACCTTTAATTTTATAGCTATGGCAACCAAGTCAATCACTATACACTCAGAGAATTTGAGAGTTGCAAGAGACCTTAGCGATGGGGCCGAATATCCGTATTCTCCAGAAGAGGGAATGGGGGATGGGGTGGGGTGCTGGTGACCTTAGTTTCTCATGGTCACATAGCTACATTCTGTACATTGGCCAAAACTACCAAATATTTGCTCAACCAGGTAGGTAAATATAAATTGTCCAGGCTGTATCTGAGTCACATGGTATAATAAAAATAAGTTGCTTATTGTATACTATATAAATCTTTTACTGTGGTGAAAGCCAAATATGTAATGCTTTAGGTTAAGTCAAAATTAAGCTCAGGCTTCTTCTGTAAGAGGGAGTCATCTAATAAAGCATTAACTCTTACCTCTTCAACTGAGAAATCAAAATGTATCATGTCTAGTTGAATGTATTGTGAATTTTTCCATTTAGTTTAGAATACGGTAACATTTTTCTTTAGCAAACTGGGTAGTTTAAATGGATTCAAACTGCCTCTCAGTTCTGGCATTTCTTTTGTAAAGGTTCCATTATAATCAAGATGAATAATGACTTCCTGCTAGCCCACTTACTATTTAATGGGCACAGATGACTTCCCTAATGCTTCAATGATAATCTAATAATACTTCATATTCTGGCAGGCCTCCATAGCTGGGTATAATGGTAACACTACATTGTTTTGTTACCAGATAATTAGCAATTTCCAGATGATAGGGACTCTTCCTGTTTAACCAATCTTAAATGTATATCATTGAGCACCACCCCTGGCTACAGGTGCTTAATACTTTCCAGAATGGTGCTTCTGTAGCTTTAATTACAAGGTAACCAACTAAGTAAAGATCACCCAGATGAAATGCTGAAGTGCTTTGAGCTTGAGCTTGTGCTTGTATTTACTCTTTCTCCGCCTTCCATTTCTGTCATAGATGTGCATAGAAATTAGCCAGTAACTAATTAAAACAAATAATGGCTTTATCCTTTATCCTTAGAAAGTTGCGGGGCACCTGGGTGGCTTAGTCGGTTGAGCGTCCGACTTTCGCTTAGGTCATGATCTCGCGGTTCGTGGGTTCGAGCCCCGCGTCGGGCTCTGTGCTGACTGCCAGCTCAGAGCCTGGAGCCTGTTTCGGTCTGTGACTTCCTCTCTCTCTGACCCTCCCCTGCTCACGCTGTCTCTCTCTCTCTCCTAGAAATAAATAAAACATTAAAAAATTTCCTTTTATCCTTAGAAAGTTGGATTTCTCTATCATGCTACCCTGGTCCTAAACATTTCTAGATGTTTTTTTCTGTTCTTACCAGAGTAGCTGCTAATGATTTGTGTTTATTGTTCTATCCAGTAACACTTGTCAGAGTCCTTAGACGTTCAAATGCTTTATTTTCCCCAACTCGTGATATTCCACTGAAACCAGGACCTAGCTTGAGTCTCTTTAAGACTCACATCAGGATCTCTGTTGACTTACTTGTGTTCCTCTAAGAGTCAAAGGAGCTCTTTTGAGAATAGTGAAACTTACATGTGGGTAGTGTTTCAACACAGGATCATTGCTAATGAATAACTTGGGGAGATGGCCTGAACTCCTTTGTGCCTTAGAGACCTTGTTTTGGGGGCTACCATGCACGTGTAAGGTACAAGAAGTTGTAAAAATTCAAACAAAGCTTTGAGGGATAAAAGAAAAGAACACTTGAACACATCATCTGCTTTTGGCTGATAGCTACCAAGCACAGAGCTCTGAAACTCAGAAACAAATGCTAATTGGTGAGGCTACATCTCTTTTTAAGACTCCTCCTTTAGTTCAGCTGC